ATTATTTCCCGGTAAAATGTAAAAGCCGTATTGTCCATTTTTATTTACCGAAAATTTTAATAAATCGGAATTGAACCCTAATTTAAAGATTTTAAAAATTATTTAAACAATATTTTAGATTTATAATAAAATATAAAGTTACCTTCTTGAAGAGCATTCATCCAAGTGTTCCATTTAATAACTTCAATCTTAATTGGAAAACGGATAGATTTTGGATAACCAGTATCATTATTAGTCGAGTAAATCGAATTATATTTCGATATAACTGAATTTTCAATCCTGTTAGCAAACGTTTTATCATCAACATCGGATTTCACATCTGCAATATGTAAAATAAAATTGATAGGAAAATTTAGATCGAACGCCTAATAAATGTTAAATGATAAACAAATAAGTGAGATGAAAAAAGTACGATTTTATACATATGAATTATCAATAAAAAAAGCAGACTTACCTCCCATTTAGACCATTCCTCAATTTCCGCAAACGGAAGTTGGGCTCGATACACCTCAGTAGTCTTCCACCACAAAGGAAGGCCAATTAATATTACTACCCAAAATGATATTATAATTAAACGACGAGATTTATCATTATCTTGGACTTTTTCCATAGTTAAGTCACCATAGATCCTTTGTAATGGTTAAATTTTAACGTGTATTTACGTATGTGGTAACGAAGATCAGTTTTTTTTTTCCCCGCTGATTAAATAAATGTTAATTGAGTAACATAGTTAATAGAGTTTGTACTCTGGGACCCTGCAGATAAAGGATCGGGTACTTGTTACTTTGAACGTAAAGGTAAAGAATTAAAAGAATTAACAAATATCTAAATTGTCGAATACTTTGAAGCATATACTACTCCGGTTCTGTTGACTAATAATTAGGGATGTGAAAAGCCGGTCTCAACTCCAAAAATAAAATTTTCGGTTCCAAGTCGGACTTGGCACAGAACGAAAAAATCTTCGCTCCTCTGATACTAAATGCACATGCAGATGTGAGTCGAAATCCCAAGTCTGACTTGGGACCGAACTTTACAGCTGTTCTCATAAATTCTGGGACAACTGATAAAACTTTGATCGGCCGAATCCGATAACATCGAATTCAAAAACTTATCGAATTCGGGGCTCGACTTTTGGAGTCGAGTCGGACTTTTCACATCCTTACTAATAATAACTAATAAAGTAATACCAAACCGGCAGCCATTAGGGTTGGAAATTATACGGTATAATAAATTTTGGTAAATAGTAACCGCATATTCTAAGAAAGTACTGAAGTACATATAGATTTCTATTGGTTAACTTTGTTACACTAAAATATTATACCAATTTAATACGTAATTATACGTATACTGTACCAATTTTATACGGTATCGTATAATTGTCCATCCCTAGCATGATAAAAATAATAGATCTATGTAACAGCAATCGATCACTGCCTTTCAATCATCTGCGAAAATAACGTTTGTTCAGGTAAGTTGTAAGACGCCTCAGTATTAATAAGCATTGTTAAATAAAACAGAAATTATAATATAAAGATTGTTAAATAGAAAAGGCAGAAATTAAGTACTTTTTTCGGTTTAATTTAATAATGATAAAAATTGTTCTAATCAAAGTGAATATTTTCACGTATAATTTGAGTTATAAAATTGATAAAATTGATAAAATTAAAAAACGTACATATATGTTTTTTAACGAAACATTTAATAAATGGTTTTAAAATTTTTTAGTAGGATGACTCACCCAATTGTTAAATCGTTTGCAACATCTAATGAACTTTCAGTATCACTTGCGGATCTTGTTGTTAGATTGTCCGAAGAATCTATCAAATCGCGTGGTAGGTTTACAGTAGGTATTTCCGGTGGGTCGTTACCCAAGTTGCTTGCCGCAGATTTAAAGAATAGGAAGGGTGTTGAATGGGATAAATGGGAAATATTTTTCTGTGACGAAAGGTAAGAAATGTTAATTATAAATTTATTTTTATTAAAATTCAAAAAAAAAAAAATTTTTTTAAATAAATAAATAAATTGAATTTTGATATTCATTGAATTATCAAGGATTGTTCCATTAGATCACGAAGATTCCAACTATCTTGTTTGCAAAAAAGAATTGTTTGATCACGTTCCAATCCTGCCTGAAAAAATTCACACTATTAAACCTGAGCTTGCAACTGAAAATGAAGTGGAAGGAGATGAAGAAACGGTTGATACTGACTATCAACAGCAAATACTTGAATTGTTTTCTGGTGCAAAGTCCATCGCGTTTCCAGTATTTGATTTATTGCTTTTAGGAATCGGACCGGATGGACATACCTGTTCATTATTTCCAGGACATCCACTTCTTGATGAGAAAACCGTGTGGGTGGCATATATTGGAGATTCACCAAAGCCTCCACCTAAAAGAGTCACTCTAACCTTGCCAGTAATTAACCATGCGCGTAATGTAGCATTTGTTGCCACAGGTTCTGGGAAGCAAGATATTTTACATCAAATATTTGAGGTTCCTGATAGTAAGCTTCCTGCTCAATTGGTTAAGCCTACACATGGTAACTTATATTGGTTCTTGGATGTTGCTGCTTCCTCAAAGTTGAATTTGCCAAAGTAAGAAATGTAAAGTTCACTGTTGATATAATTTAAATGTTCATTAAGAGATACCATTCTGTTAAAATTTAGGATTTAAATATTGTTCGTTACCAAACTTTTGTGTGTATATATATTACAGTCGTCACATTTATGTAATATATCATTCTTTATCGGTCTTATGGGATCTTTTTTTTTATATCTTTTTTGTCTATAAATATCAATAAATTTGGAAAAAGTCTTTGGACTCTATTTAAGATCCTAGTGAAATCTGTAATGATCATAAATTCGAATTTCTGAAATATAGTAAGTCATGTAATATAACTGGAGAATATATCTTTTAGCGTAGTTATTATTAATAGAGATGATATAATTTACATATACTATTAATGTATATCCAATTCAGGGTTGGCATTTTACTATACCTTCTCTATTGACATATAATTCTATTCACTTCTTTTATTTTATTTTTTGTAAATTTTTTGTATAAACTTTATTAATTAAATACAAAAATATTTGAAATTTATTACTTTTTTTTTTTTTTTTTAATCTTCAAAGGTGAGGCCATGCCTCTATCTTTATTAAAATCCAATTAAACTTCTTTACA